GAGCCGGACTGAGACTGAAAGTGTGGTCCAAAGCGTGCATGCACCATGGGACAATATCAAGAACAAGATCCTCAGCATGAGGCAATTCAAGAGTGGGGCAAACTGGGCAATCCTGCCACACAGCATTTGACATTTGGACAAAAACAAAAACAATATGTACTACACGAAAGTACTCTATCAGCTACACTCAACAATAGGATTTTAAAAAAAAAAAAATTTTACACACAAATTTTGATAAAATTTAAGAAAATAGTAATGTTTAAAATTATTTCATAAAATACATTATGAGGGTGCTATGATAAATTCATTTATTGTTAAGATTCTTCAATTGTCAATTTTATGTTTTAAAAATAAAAACAATTTTCTTTAGGACTCACTCTTGAAAGTAAAAAATAAAAGAATAATTTATAATTCTTTTATTATTTTGACATATTCAATACATTTTTTTAATTAATTCAAATAAATTTATTTATATTTAATCAAATAAATTAATAAAAATTTTATTCACGAACTTAAAGCATTTGTTAAACATTACATAAATATCTTAATGCTTAAATGCTTTCGAATTTTTATAGACTGGTACTTTATTGGGATCCCTACTTTATTTTTCCTTTTTAGAGAGAAACTACCTTTAAATACTTTTTTATTTTTCCCTTGAATGACTTTATTAATTTGCAGTGAGATAAAAATTGTACATATCCTTTTCAATGGTACATGTATGGTAATAAATAAAGAGTGGTCCTCTTTCCTATGTAAAGAGTGGTCCTCTTTCCTATGTCTAGTACAGTACTAGGAAGAGCACAAATTTTCCAAAGAGATTGATTATTGACTTGTTTCTTGTTCACAAGTGAACTCTTTAATTGTTTATTAATAAACTTATTCAATATATTTTATGATTAAGCTCATTTAAATTAAATGAATTGAATATAATCTAATATTTAATTAAATTAAATTTTAATTAAATCAAACATAATTTTATTTCTAATTAAATAAAACTTTAATCAAATCGAGCTCAAATACTATATTATCAAACATAAAACAATCTTAAACAACCCCATATATAAATGAGGCTAAGTACGAAAATAGCTAAGCTTGTTTGGAGTGGGATCCTTTACAGCTCTAAATTTGGACAAATTGCATATCAATGAAGGATACAGCATGAGTTTGTTGCATCTACATGTTTTGTTGTCTTTCAAAAAGTTGAAAGCTCAAGCTTTGAACAACATTAGCTTTCTTGTTCTCTGCTTTATGGGTGGGATTAATAGTTTAATCAATCAATAAAATTTTATTTCAAAAGGAATGGTCACCAACTTTATAGATTCCAAGGCATCATCATTAATTGGAGTCCAATTTTGTATGCTCTTTGCCCCCCATCATTGTGCTTTCATTAATTGACTCTTACTTTTGGGGCCATAACATTATTAATTTATTGTGCAATTGATTAAGTAAGTTCAAATCACTTGAGCTTTCAAATGTAAATAATTATAAAATAATTTACGTAATTTATTGATAAAATATTAAATTTTTAATTTAAATTTTAATAATCTCAAAAAAAGAAAGCTTTAGAATGACTAATTGGCTAATTAAAAGCTGATGAAAGAAGATTCCTATCCCTTTTACCAATAATGCCCAATATCAATCTCTTATCTCTTTCACCTAAAGGCTATTTTTTTCATGAATTTGGCCATATGATACTTGTTCTAATTGACTGGTAAAAGTTTATTTTCTTAAAATAATGCTAAAGTGTCCAAAAACAGTGCTTGAATAGTCCGTATAATATTTACTCTTAAAGCTTGTATTATTTACACACAATGTCATTATATTTTTATCTTAGTTTTTTTGAATTCAAATCATTTAACGTAATTTCTACAGCAATAACAAGTAATAATGTTTAAAATTTAATTAAGTTAATTCATATAATTATTTTTTAAAAGTGTTATTAGACAAGTTTGATATTTAAATGTTAATATTTATAATTTATTTTTTTATTTTAAATTATGACTTTCTTTATAAAAAATAATAAACCAATAATTATCGAGAAAGATTAGATAACCAAAGAAATTATAGTAAAAATGCGGAACAAAACAAGCATGTCAATCAACTTGTTAATGAAACTTTGGTTTAGTGATAAAGAGAATGTTTTAAAATTTTAAGGGTCTAAGTTTAAATCTCGTTATATGTAGATTTTGTTGTTTAATTATGTTTTAATTTTTTAGTTGATTATTTAATAATTATAACTTGATTATGATATAATAATTGATCATTATTATTATATAAATATAATACTTAATTGATTAAGATTGTAACTTAAAAAAAAACATATCAACCAACCTAGATCCCACATTCTTCAATCAAATTGAGACAATCGTAAATTCAAATTTTAAAGCCAGATGACTTAAAAAAAAAAAATTTCTAGTTAGCTTGCACTAAGATTAGTCGGTCTTCTACACTTCTACTAACTAGAGGCCGCCATTTTAGTGAGAGCAATCTTTCAAATAAGCAACTTGCCGGCTCTCCTACCCTTTTGTTAATGCATAAATTCATGAAAACCTTCTTTTTGGGTCCAATGACTGAGTTATGGGATGAAATAGCTATTCCCTTTTCTTTAGCCTTAATTTCCCTAGTCAAATTTCAATCTAGTTGTTTCAAGTCATTTGACATTTTCATAATTGCAATATTAAGAAGCATCATTAAAATCGATATTATAATGTCTTTCATTGATCCAAATCATCTTAAAAATTTAATATTAAATAATTATTTTTTAAATTATATTATGGTTTTTTTGTAAAAAATAAATTACAACTTCAAAACAGTAAAAAAATTATAAATATTGAAATTTAAAACCAATATTTATTTTTCATATTCATATTATGATAACGAGAGAAAGAGCATTTTTAATTTAATTTAAAAGGATGGTCTACCTATAGTTGACATTGAAACAACATATATATATATATATATATATATATTAAGTGACTGAAAGGGGGATGAACTATGAAGTTGAACAAAATACATGTGGAAGTGTCTCACACGATGAAAATGCAATCCTTGTCTCGTTACATTTGAACGTTGATGCGAGACAAGTAGAGCCAAAGCAAGTAGGGACGGTTATGCTTGGAAGTTAGGATCCAATTGCGGTAAACCAGGGTTGGGAGGGGAAGTGGGCAGCCACTCAACTTTGTTTTTTCACCACACGACAGATTAGAATTTAGATCGGTGGAATCTTCCACGCACCTTTTTTTTTTTCTTTGGTTTGTTTAACATCAACACACCATCGGTGTTTCTGACACGTGTTTTGTCTTCGACAACCTGTGGTGATCACAACAAATGGCCTAGCTAATAACAAATGTTTTGTTAGAAGAAATAAATGAGAAATAGATGGGACTGTTGTTCAAGAACTTTGTCTTTGAGTTATACAAATCAAGAACACAGAACTTGTTGAGACCGCCCCAAAAAAGGGGAAAGTTGATGTATAGTAGAGAGGAGAGCTCAATAATAATATAACTGATAATAATTCCAACGAATCAGATTTCTTTGTCCTGATCAAACCACGAAATGAAGCAATATTCACAATCATTACTGAACTCTATTGCAAAAGTGACTTTCCCATTTCTGAAAGTTCAATAATTTATCGATTAGTTTTGAATTTGTTAAGGTCGGAATTTGGAGATAAAAAGTAATAAAAAAATTATAAATATTAAGATTTAAATATTTATTTTACAAAATTAACTTATTAAAAAAGACGAATGAATCATTTGAATTAAGTTTATGATTTTGCTGACATTGATTTTAATTAGCCAATTGCAAGCTATTACTACAGTGGCAACGAAGATTGCAACAGAATAAAAATGAGTGGAATGAATACAAACAAAAACATGCTAACAAAATCTAATGCGGCACCGACTGTCCTCCTGATAATCGATCGTGGAGTTGAACATCCTTCGCCTAACTTTAGATCTCCGAAGTATAGATTAATCCCAGGGTTCTTCATTTTTATGTTACTCCCTGTCAAAACAGAACCGTTTATCCATTGAACTTTGCTGTTGGTAGAGATGTTGATGCACCAACAACCTCCTGGCTCGCCTGGCATGCCAAGACGGATGAACATTGTAGCCCCAGCATTGCTTCCTTCAAAGTTAATGCTATTCAAAGAGCCTAAGATGATTTCTGGGGTACCAGTGTTTGTTGGCATTGTTTGTTTTTTTGTTTTTGATATCTTTGTTTTAAATTGGGTCAAGTATAGCACTGTTGATTTTTATTCTTTTGCTTCTTTGCTTGCACTGTGTCTGTTTGTTTTCACTTTTCGCCAGCAACAAGAGAAGCTAATGTTTCATTAGAACGACTTAAACTACACTCTTGTTCTCTGGTCTTTCTCATTTTCTTTTTCTTAGGTAAAGAGCTAAAATTCTTCTCCTACTTCATCAGATTGCAATAGAAGAGATTAGTTAATCATATCTGACTTATAACCAAGAATTGTAAAAAAATATATAAACGAAGAGGCAAAGAAAAGGGTCTAAGCCTAGGTTTAGATTCCACCGCAGCTCTAAGCTTAGCTTTGGATTCTAATGCAGTTCCAATGCAACTCCAATATAATAAAACTAATATAATAAAATTAAACTCACCGCATCACCTGTTAAATCTAAATATAACTCTAATAAAATCCATTTAATATAAATTTCTTATTGAAAAAATTTTTTAATCACAGTTTTAATCATTTTTTTTCATTACAATTATAATAATTTTTATTACTATTTTTAATTTCACAAGTTATTTTCACTGTAATAGAACCTAAGAACGACAACATTTATGAGGAATACACAAAGCAGTACAATGACAAAATTGCCAACAGAAACAAATAAAATGTTTCTTTTAACGGGATCATGTCTTTTAAAAATTACAAATGAGATGAATATTTCTCACAATTACACATTCCTGAAATAACTCAAGGACACTCCCCTTTTATTATTCTTTCCTAGTTTCTGCCAAGGAAAAGAAGCCCCTCCCAGCAAACCTATGATGCCACTAATTAGTTAACCAGCAAATGGCACAGAAAAAGTCAGAGTTGCAAATGTTGTACAGAGTGATTAACAACCAAGTATATGAATTTTATTATATCTTGCTACTCGAAAATTAAGGCCAATATTCTGGATTAACTTTTTCGCTGACTGTAGACCCAAATTGTGGACCACCCTTACGGTACTGGATAAGATACTCAACCGGGTATCCCTTCAACTTATGAGGCACAATACCCAAATCCATAAAAGTTAAAGCTGCAAAACCCACCACAAAATAAGGGGAAAGTGAGATATGACTAATCTGGTAACAAGGAAAGTTGTTAGCAATGCCTTTAAAAATTAGAAGAAACAATGATAGTATAATAGCCTCAAAACTATTTCAACTGACCATTTTCTGAGACAACGGTATCAGACGCAAATGCATGTATCTGATCCAGATTGAAGATGTCAGGATTTGGAAGTGGAAATGGCACTTTCTTGAGTAATAACTCTCTCGGCGTTGCAATTGCCTGAAACCATCAATCGATGAGCTGTTAAATTAAAATTCAACAACAAAAGGTACCAAGCATCGACAATGTGAAAATAGAGGTAAACAGAAACATGAATTTGCAAGTAGAAGCACAATAATCAATTGTGTAAAAGAGTGTTAGTCATAATTAAGGCAAGAAATTGGCAAAATAATAACAATAATAATAACTAAGAAATGAAAAGCACCACGTGCATTCCACTGACATTTAAAAGAAATTATCTTTTGCTGCCAGCATAACTAATTTTTACCATGCATAAAGTCAATACTAACAAATTAGACAATGGAATAAAAAGCTGCACTAGCTTAGAACAGCTAAAACATTGCTTGTGGCACTAGCCCAAATACAAATGTTACAGATTTACCTTTGCAATGGGTAGAGGTACTTTTACATAGCGTGGCCATTCACGGATCATGTCGTACATAAGCTCAGCCTGCAGGGAATTTTAGGTTCAGTTACACCAAGAAGCATTGCTGCAATAAATTAATGAGAAGGAAAGAAATTACCAGTTCATGCATGGTAAAGATCTCTGGCCCACCCAACTCATAAACTTTTCCCATGCTGGTGGCATCATCTTTCAAAGCCGCAACAATTGCAGAAGCAACATCAACAACATATACAGGTTGGATTCTGTAAAGAAACCATTCAGAAAAGATGCACAAAGCTTCCAGAAGAAAAGGACCCCAGAAATTTCAATTAAAAGATCCAGGTTGTGATCCAAAATTACTTGGTAGATCCATCACCAATGAGAGGAAGAAAACTATATTTCTTTGCAAACTGAGCCCACCGATTCATGATCCGATCCTCAGTACCAATCATTACAGCAGGTTTCATTACAGTAGCCTGTAGAAGGAATAATATGCTAAAAGAGTTGATATTGAAACCATAAGGTAACACCTAAAATGAGGAAGCATAGATAAGACTAACCCTTAATGAGCTAATCACACCTTTTCAACTCAGTTTAGCCCTTTTACTATTCTCACTTACCTTCCCTCAATCTTATTCAAAAAGGAGATGCGCTTGTGTAATTTTATTGCATACTTAGGTTCTTGCCCTATTCGGGTTCTTATTATGATTGCACTACCAGTATTATGCATCATTCTAATGATTTCCTAGAGGTTACATCAAATCTTCATACAAAGTCCAAAACCAAGTTTGCACAATGCGTTAGGTTCTGCACTATTCAGGTTCTTTTTATGATTGCACTATCTGTGTTATGCATCATTCTAATGATTTCCTAGAGGTAACATCAAATCTTCTAACAATGTACAAAACTAAGTTTGCACAATGCCAAATTCAACAACTTTGACTCTTCTATTGCAATTCTAAATGCATTATGTTTTCCAGATCACTTATTTGAGAAATTTTCTAAATAGCTATCAGCTAAAATATGTATCACAAATTTGGTATCAAGCATTAATAGGACTGAAAAATAACCATTTACTCAAAAAAAAAAAAAAAGCTTATAGCAAACTGAATGAACTTGAATTTTACTTTTGTTTAGGATGATAAGGCAACTTCAAGTAAACCATTGCCTAAGACTTAAACAATATAGAACCAGTTTGTGGAATGAGTAGTGATGTTGCAAAGCTTAGAAGGAATGGAGGTCCTTGCAGGCATAATAACTTCAATGCATTCTTTAATTCTACTAGAGGAAGAAGGTATGCATCAACAACTTCATCTCTACATGCTTATAATCTGAAGAAAGAGGAGTCAATGTCAACTTCATCGTATTTTCACCTCTATTCTGATATTGAAACACAACTTTGATCTCAAGTTACCATATGTACAAACAACAATATTAAAAGTCCATATAACTAAAAGGCAATATTGTCATTCAAATAAACACCATACAGAAGCACCTATAACCAACCACAATCAAGCCCAAAAGCAGCAAACAAGCATTTAGCACAACACGTCAAGTAGAAGCACTTCAGCAGTAAATAGCTTAAGTAGTGAAGCCGAGGAAAAGATGAAAGCAACAGCAGCCATGGCAACAACATAAGAGACTTAAATTCTCCTATGAAACTGTGTCAAAATTAATTCCCTCATTCACAAAAGGCAGCAGGACTTTTTTTGTGAAAGATCCTAGGAACGGCTATCCATGCATTTAAAGCTAAATAGAACAAACTATTTCTATCTCTTTCCAACCTCATTTTGTTTATACGTAACTCCAATCAAGATAAGAAAATAAACCAAAAAAAAAAAAAGCCCATTTATGCGTAATGTGAAGTGAATGCGCTATCAGATAACATTGTCACAATTATTAATACACACGTTTACTCTGCTTATATTACAATAAATTCACTATATCCAGCATTAGCATCTCAAGTTGTAGAAACTAATGAATAACTACCTCAGGAAGTTCTTTCAAAACAGCTTCTTCTCCAGCAGCCTTAGCTCTTAGAAATCTTGATGGAGATGACACAGAGGACCCTAAGCAAGAAACTTGAATAAATCTCATGATACCACCATGTTCTTTGGCAATCTGAAATCAAGAAGAAAAAACTAATGCATGAAGCACTAAAAACTCCAGCAAATTAAGCTTAGTTAAATGTAGAACATGGTTAATAGCAGAAGACAATCTGATACACAGAGTCACAAACTATACCGTTCCATATGTTAAAAACTTGATAAAGATGCTTCACAGACAATTTGGTTGTAAATGTCAGCACCAATGACAGAAAAGGAAATGCAGTCAATCAACTACATTAAAATCTAAAGCTGACCTATATGATAGAGCCTTAAGTAGAATGAGTGAATGCCCAACTTTTCCTTCATCAGAGGGAGGCAAAGGTTGTGCATAATACATTTCCTTCTACTTCAAACTCCCCAAACCCCCAAACCTTCGTCCAACAAAGAACTAAATATAACATTTAGCCCATACACGAGTTGGTCCAAAATCATGCTAAGAAATTAAGATTGCCAATTTCAATGTGAATGAAAGCTCCAACATACCACTGCCAGTTGTTCTGCCATGAAATGGTTTACCTCCTCAAAGCTATAGTTTCTTGTCTCATACTCTCTTCCTGCCAATATAAGCAATACAGATGAAAAAAATCCACGGTTTTAAATATCTTTCATAGGTAAAATCAAAAGAGAAGACTAGTATACCAATAAGATTGATAACAACATTAGCCTTTGCCATCACAGCCTTGATAGAATTTTCATCCCTTGGATCGTATTTCATTGGCACAATCTGAGTACAAGAAATATGAAATTAAGACCATAATAAAAAAAATAATATGCAAATGAATATGAATTTCAATAAGAAAAAAAAAAAAAAAGCAATTTCATGAAGTATGCTACCTGTCCCAAATCTCCCATCAACTTGAGATGACGGGGGTTATCTTCAGAACCTCGGAAAGGAACTAACACCTGAGATCCCATTTTAGCTAAAATAAAAACAAAAACATCAGTAAGTATACACACCGAAAAATAAACCCTCAAGTGGGATTAAAATAAAATAAAATAAAACAAAACAAGCTCTCACTCATGCACATTTTAAAGCGAAACATGAAACATTTGAGCACAAAAAGAAGCAGATCATCAAACCAATGTACAATAAAAACTCAAATAAAAATAAACAATTTAAGTTTAAATTACCAAGCTGTTGCACAAGATAACGACCAAGGAATCCGGTAGCTCCAAAAACTGTAGCTATAATGCCACTGAAAGAAAAGGAAAAATTTCATCCCTAATTCATAGGCTCAAACTACTACTATTATTTAACTGAAAAAATAAAAAAAGAAATCACATTTGGTATATTACTGGAAAGCAAACAGAAAATTTTAGCTATAAAGTGTGAATTCCAAGAAATGACCTAACGGAGGATCGGCCACCGGTGCCCTTGCGAACGAGGTGGCCCACGCCCTTGTGGGCGGCCAATGTAGATTCGTATCGCGGATGATCACCTCCATAATCTGATAAAATTGATATCAAAATGCTTCAAATTTTAATAAAACCCATCAATTTGATACAAATGCGAAACACCATTAAAATATAGAAGAGGAAAAGAAGAAGAAGAAGAAAAAGATCAATTGAGAAACTAAAAAGAGGGAATGGAAAAGTTACAGTGATCGGAGAGAGGGTATATAGACTTAATAGAAGAGGTTGAAGGCGTTGGCCTCAAATATTGCTGCCCTAACCGTCTTGTGATCGCCTGCATCTTTTCTCAGCTTAGCTTCTCCGAGAGAGAGAGAAAGGGTATTAGGGAAGTGGTTTTGTTTGAGATTTAAGGATGGAGATTTGGATTTTGTATCTAATTTTAGGTCATACTGGATTTGGGCTTGGGTTCTTCGTTTTCAGCCATATTTTGGGCCATGTTTTAGGCTTTAGCCCTTTTCTCAATTTGGGCCAACTGAACCTTTTTTTAATTAACGTTTATGAACTATTTTCACTATTATTTTGGTTAAGTTGGTGATTGAATTTTCAACAAATTTGAGATGTTCATGAACAATGGTTATTCTTTTTTAGGATAGCAAATCAAAGTCTAAAGCAGAAAATCAACTGCCAAGGAGAATTTGTGATACTCCTTCCTTATAGAGGGCAACAGGCTGCAAAATTATGGTTCAAAGACAATTTTAATTTCTTGGCTTTGGTATTCATGATATAACAAGATAAAAAAAAAAAAAAATCACAAAAACACCATATGAAAGAGGGAGAAGGGTGAACTTTGCATGTGGGAATACATTGCTACTCGAATGTATGATGTGTCATAGAGTCAAATTGTATGTTAAGGAATCTCCGAGATGATTGCTGACATGAAAATTTTAAAAGCTTAGATTCTGTAAAAGCTGCTCAATTGGATGTGCAAGTTTTTATAATCTGTCAGCTGCAGCAGTATATTTGATATTACTCAAGGGTGAGAGAGAAAGAGTTGAGTTCGAAGCAAAATTTATGGTAGCAAAACCTATAACAGAAGCTGCCAGTAGAGAGATGAAACAAAATTTATATTCTTTAGTCTATAACTGAAAATTTGACAGCAGAAAGAGTGGATCTGACTAGTTCAACTCTAAAATTTATCCTGACTACAATCCAACATTTTTCTACGCACTAATTTATTACACATCTTTGAACAAATATAAGCCACCCATTTTTTCTTCTTCCGTGTATTATTACCAAACTCTACCCATCTGACTTATTTTCTGTTACAAGGTATCCCGGGTTGCTAACAGTGCATGAATTCCCCAAATTCACCAAAGGGGATGAATTAGCTTGAAATTACCTTGAAGTAGAAACTACTCTCTTTTACTTGAGGTTTTGGTTTAATGGCTTGACATACATATCTGTCCTTTCCATTTGTCATTGAGTTTGCCTAATGCTGCGAACAAAGCAGCAGCAGCAGCAGTAGCTGGTTCACTCTTGGATAGTCCCTCAGCTTCTGATGCCTCTGACTGGAAGAATTTTGGCATGCAATCTGTTTCAATAATCTGGTATGCCACTTGATCTTGATGAATACTCAGTTACCAACTTTAGAAACATGGATGTTTTATCTTCCAGGAGACGTGCCGGAGTATCAAACTCTGCAACTCGACCTGCAAATAAATTTCCAATTCATTGGGAAAAAGTCAGACTTTCAATGACTTTACACCGATGAATAATACTGAAACATCTCAAACTTGAGATATTACAGACATTGTTTTACGTACCATCACTTAGTACCAAAACAAGATCACTGTCAATTACAGTTGGAATACGATGTGCAATAGTGCAAACTGTGCAGTTCTTGAACTCTGTTCGGATGATCTTCTGTATGAGATTGTCAGTGGCAGTATCAACTGATGCTGTTGCTTCATCTAGCACAAGTATTCTTGCCTGTTTAAGTAAAGCCCGACCAAGGGAAACAAGTTGCCGCTGCCCCACACTCCAGTTATCTCCATTTTCTAAAACTGCAGATTTTACAACAAAGAAAAAATGATCTATCAACCACATGCAACTTCAAGGGGCTTTTGCCTCTTCTTTCTCTAGACATTTTTCCTTTTCCTTTTTTCAATTCAGATGATACATTAATGATGTCCAAGACGGATGGTACAAACCTGGCGTATCAAGCTTTTGGTCTTTCTGACGAACAATATCTCCAAGCTGAGACTTATCGAGTGCCTGTAAGGAATAAAAATTCAGAACTTAATTCGGTGCACAGCATTTGACATAAGCATATTTTAAGATTCAACAATCATATTTTGGAATGGTAAAATTGTGTCTACTTGGGAATAAAATGATACAAAATATTGAAAAAGAATGTAAATCAAGTAATTAAGTGGTATTTATTTCATACAGACCATCATAATGTTGAGTGTTGGAAATGAATATTAGCAAATGAGAATAGCTAAATTAATATAAATTATCTGTATCCAGGTTCACTAGGAACTAATAATCTCAGTGAAATGAACTCCGAAATCTTCAACAGGAAGAACTGGAAACTAGGGAACTACTTAAAATTTCTAGAATTTTTAATTAGTTCAGAGGCAAGGAACATCAAGAATGTGTTCATAACTTTATGCCCATGAAATAAATACCGGAACTTCAGTGAAATTCATAAACTTAACTCTCTGCTTAAGTATACTCATTATATGAGGGAGAGAGAGAGATCTGGGTATGCAAGTGACAAACTTATACCTCCCAAATTTCATGATCTGGATGCTCTTCAAGAGGGTCAAGATTGGCTCTAATAGTTCCTTCAAATAATGTGGGATCCTGAGGTATGATACTAAGACGGCTACGAAGGTCATGGAGCCCAATCGTTGAAATGTCAATGTTATCTACAATGATCCTCCCACCAGATGGCTCAATCAATCGGAATAATGCTTGGATCAAAGTAGATTTACCACTTCCAGTACGCCCAACAATTCCAATCTTCTTGCCGCCAGGAAATGCACATGTTACCCCATGAAGCACCACAGGGAGATTTTCCCCATAACGAACCTTCAAAAAAAGGAATATAAAAAGAAATGGAAAAGTCAGCATGTAGGGCCTGTAATATTCAAACACAGAAATTTTTATGCTTTTTCTCCAACATTAAAAATTACAACTATGTATTATCTATTGATCACACACAGCCTTCTACAAAATCTTTCTTTCACTCTATTTTTTATGGTATAAGAAAAAATTTTTAAAAATCATAAACAGAATCCAAATTTCCCAATTAAGTAGACTTCATCAAGCAAGAGGAGAAGAGAGGAATGATGTTGAAAACAATATTCAGTTTTTAGCCAGAGGAATTATGGAAATTATTGAAATGCCACTAGATGATCCATTCTCATGCCATAAAGCACTCATATCCTGCACACCTTTCGCATGAAGTTGCTACTATGGCGAAAGAACTAATGTCGAAAAAGAATGGTGTATATCAATCTCCTATGTTGCAAGGAAAAATAAGATATTGCATGATGTGGTGAAAAACAACTGGATACCTTTAAATCAACCAATTCAACTGTTCCATTTTCAGGCCATGAGGATGGAGGGCGGGGATTTTCAATAACAGGAGGAGCTTCACTAGGAATTTGGCTGTACTGATAAATCCTCTCTATGGATATAATTTTATTCTCGAGCTTGCAAAAGCTAAGTATCCACCGCGATAACCGTGCATTTAAGTTAAGGCCATATGTCACTGCAAGGCCTGCCATACCTGTTTAGAAGAAGCAGGAATTATTAGCATCAGCATACTATCGTAATTAACAATTCTAATATTTCATTTTTATCTAATATCTAAAACATAGTCTAAATACTAATGAAACTGTGTCCGAACTTGGCAGCACCAGTCTAGCTCTCCACTTCTTGAAGGATGACAATAAATTTTCTTACACATCCTAAAGCATTGTAAATTGGAATGCTCAACTCAGTAAAACCTTAATCCTTCCTAGGGGTGTGCGTAATTTGGTTTTAAACTGAATTAACCAACCAAACCGATTTAATTCGGTTAATTGGTCGGCCACCGAATTAATTTTGATCAATTAACGAAAATGATTTTAAAAAAATTTCAGTTTTCGTTAATTTGATTCGAAAATCGAATTAACCAAATTAACCGAAATTTTAACTGAAATATAACATAATCCAAATATAAAATGAAAAATACATGAAATAGATAATTTACTTTCATAATTTGTTAGAGTTTTTAATATATACTTTGATATTTGAATATTTTGTTGGATAATTTTATTTAATTTGTTTAAAATATGAGAAATTAAGAGTTTAAAATATAATTTAACTTAAATATATTTATTATTCGGTTAACCGAAAAAAATTAATCGAACCGACCGGTCAATTTTCGAAATCCATAAATTCGGTTCGATTAATGAAAATAAAATAATGTAATTCAATTAATTCGGTTTTGGATAATTCGATTCGAAATTAACCAAACTAACCAAATGAACACCCTAATCCTCCCCATCAAGATCAGCCACATCAACACAATCAACACCATTTAGAGGAAAAAGACAAAAGGAATGTGTAATAATGTAACTAAAACTACCCGAGAATTCTAAACGGTCATTGTAAAAGACACGGTGCAAATCAATCTCTTCCAAAGGAAAGAATTTTGAAAACTACAACACACCAACCATTACCTTGACATTGCAAGTGAGAAATCAGATTTACTTTAAATTTTGCAGTACACATCACTCCTGATCACTTGATATTTCTTACAAAAACAAGCAGATAAATTAAATAACAATGCAAAAGATTTACTTACTTGGATCAATACTTCCATTTGGAAAACTCACGAGCAAAATCATGCAAAAAGCAAATACAAAGGTCGAAAGTAATTCCATGCGCAGGCACAGCCATTCAATGGCTGCAAGACTGCAAAAGAACGGACGAGCAAAACAATCAAGAAGATAAAGGTTTCTCTTCATGAACCTTTTCTCTTGCCCAAAACCTCTTATCGTGGCTGCTCCTGCAATTGATTCACCAAAAAGATGAATAATTGGAGATTTCTGGATGCTAACAATGCGAACCAATTCCCTTGAAGAAGCCATGTAGTATTTCTGCAACCAGCAATAAGTGACCAATTCATTAGAAGAAACATGTTTCCAAGGAAACTACACTACAATAACTCTGACATGATAATGTGTATATTAAATTCATCAACAAAGGTTAAAAGGGTTTAACGTGGATTAATTAAACCAATGCAGTTCTATGGACTGGCAACTTAAACTTCAACTCCAAATA